AGCTATAAACATATTATATTTGGATCACTTATTGCTAACTTAGATGAAAATATATTCTCAAGATTTGCTTTTAAATTTCCGTTATCGGTTTCTGGTACACCATAAAATCGTAATTGACCCAGCCTCAGCTTTTGTTCCAAGTCTTCATTCTCACCCTGTATATCGAATATTTTCGATATCAACTTGCTGGTTTACTTTATCAGCTACCTTTTTTGCGATGGCGTCAAGAAAAACATCATCACTCATAAATTCCATGAGAATTTCTTTTGTTATTTCTTTAGTTATATTCTTCAGTTCACTTTTTTCTCGTTCAGTAAATCCCACTTTATGATAGCAATAAACCGGAGCTACAATAAACACGTCTACTCACTGCGAACGAACATGAATTCAATTCATGCAATTTTAAAGCCGTAGAACCACCGTATTGCATTTTTCTCTACTCAAATCACTTGTTGATGGTTTTTGGAAATGTACCTGTTCTTTACAAATCTTTTTCGATGCCAACAGTGCAGAAATTAGGAGAACTTTACTTTTCGTGTATAAGGGTCATCAAACTCAACTTACACTTAACAATTACACTTTGCAAGAAGCATATTTGCGTACCAACACTCAACAGTACCTTTAATAAGAAAAATAGGGCTTTTTGGCATAACCTTGATGATAACCTAATTTTATTGCCACGTTTGATTTCGATGATTGTAAAAGAAACGGAAAAACACAAGTTTCTCTTCTGTCGCACTGATTCACACACCCATGTGTCTTCCATTTTGAAAATTTTAATCCTTTGCTAATATCCTCGTATTATTCTCGATTTGTCATTTTTTTTACATGCTCTCGTACTACCTCTTTTTACTTCCCTTATATCGTCTACCTCCGGTTTCCTCGATGATTCCTATCAAATGGTTGATGTGCACCTGGTCTCACTAGTAGTGCAATTTTCTATTTCTTGGCCGGTATACTGATACGCGGCACTTTTCTAGAAGGCTCATCATCAAATCCCTGTTCGATCAAATACCTCTTCCGTCGTACTGATTCACACATCCATCTGTCATCCATTTTATGAATTCCATTCCTTTGCTTGATTCCTTGTACTTTTAAATCGTCAATTTTCATTCTTTGGTTCATAACACCAACATGATCTCTCGCGTCTTTCTTAAGATTTGATCCGATTCCATTGCTTCCGCCACGGCTCACTGTTTTGCTGGATGTTATTATAAAATGATCCATTTTAGAAAGTTCATCTTCAAAAATTGATTTGGCTTCTTCTAGGCGTTTCGCAGGTGCAGCAGAAATTAATAACTCATTAATTTCTGCTGCAGGTGCAGCAGAAATTAATAACTCATCGGTTACTCTACTACCATCTATCTCTTCTGTGACTTTTAACTTTTCCGTGTCATGTGTGTTCTCTTCATAAATTTTCAACTTGTCGATCAATCCAGTATCCGTGTTTTGCTGAAACGCACGTCTTTCCCCCTTCTTGGGTTGAGTACCATATAGCTTTTTCAACCTTTCGATCAATCCAGCATCTGTGTCTTCCTCCTCCGGACCATAAAGCCTTTTCCACCTTTCCATCAATCCATCATCTGTGTCTCGTTGAAATTCACCTCCTTTCTCCCCTGGTTTAGTACCATAAAGCCTCCTCAACCTTTCGGTCAATCCATCATCTGTGACTCGTCCTTTTGGTTCAGACTGTTCATCAAACACATTTGATTTGGCTTCATGCATGGGCATCTCCGGTTCAGTGGGAATTGATGACTCATCTGTGACATCTTCAAGTCGACTACTTTCCGTATCTTTCCGAAATTCACGTCCGTTATCCTTCTCTGGCTCAGGACCCAAAAGCTCTTTTCCAGCATCATGGCCCCGTTCTTTTGTTTCAGACGATTCTTTGCCCGTCTTACAAGATAAAGACTCATGCATGGACTTCTTAGGTGCGAAAGAAATCGATGGTCGAACCTTTGTATATTCAAGCCGACCACTATTCTCATGCTGGTGTCTATTCTTTGCCGTCCGCTGTAACTGATATTCTTTCACTACATCTGCCCCATTTCCTTCTTCTGGTTCAGGAGAAAAAAGCCTCCTCAACTTTTTTTTCATTTCTGCCCCACGGTCTGCTTCTTTCTCGGATGTTGATTTTGCTTTGGGTGCAGAAGAAAGTGATAATCCAACTTCTATTTTCTGACGTCGACCACTTCCCTTTTTCAGGTGTTTGATTTCTGTCCTCTGCTGCAATTCCCGTTTTCTCCCAATATCCTTTCCACGATGTTTGCTTGCTCCTAGAGAAACAGATCGTTTCAACTCCACTACAGCTCCTCTTCCTTCCAGGTTCTTGGGATCCTGTTTTCTAAAGTTTGGTTTGCCTTCTTTTGAATCTTCTTTCAAAACTCGACTATGTTCCGCCTCCCGGCGTACGAAGTCACTATTTTGCTGACATCCATGTCCTTTGTTCAGTTCCTTCTTTCGTTTTTCTGCTTCAGAAACGGACGAGAAGAGTGAATTCAACTTATTTCCTATTACACCATCACGGACGGGGAATTCTTCTTTTGGATCTGAAGACTTTCTATTCAACTTTTTACTTGAAGTTTTCATATTCCCTCCCTTCGCTGACTTAATAGATGACATTATGACATGGTCCATTTTTGAAATCTCGTCTTCAAAACTTGGCTGAAGATTTCGTTTTTCATCCAAATATTTGTGGGTATCCATCTTTCTCAACTAGTAAATAAATTTGACAATAAAACAATCAAGTTCACTAACCACACGTAAACAGCACTAATTAAATATAATAGTTAAATTTCTCACATTTATATTATATTACATCCATTATGGTCGGACGGTCGACTAAATTACCTTTCACCAATCAGAGTGTTACCTGGAAACAAAATAATGGGTAGTAACTTTGCTTCTTTTGTTACCTGATTAATATCTATTTTCTAATTAGGTGGGGCTAATATTATTAATTTCCATATAGTTTTCATATGGAAAAATGTGAAATTTAATATTTCGGTATTTCAATACAACATATTTTCCTAGTAATATTTCATTGATTCGATTATACAAAATGCACAACAATATGTATATTAACTCAAATAATACTTTCACAGTTATACTTTCAAAAAAGGTATCGCCAAAAAGTGGCAATCTTTTGAAATTGTTATTGAAATTCTATTTTGAAAGAGATATTGAAATGTCATATTTAATTAAATACTTGATTTCAGAATTAGATTCGTTATCGTCATATACGATCTGAAAATCATTAGTGACATCCCATTCTACTACAAAATAAGAGTCAACCGATTAACCAAGTAGGTACAAAAATTTTAATGAGTCGTCCCATGGATGCCCCGCTTTTCTTAATTGTCAGATTGCTTTGATACTTCGTTGGCGGTATATTATCAGATGTTGAATAAGTATTTTCTTGCAACAAAATCAGGCAAGTTTAAAGCCGCATTTTTTCTCTACTCAAATCACTTGTTGATGATTTTCCAAACGGAACTTTGACCAAATGTACCTACCTGTTCTTCACAAATATTTTTCAATATCATTTTATGCTACCAGTAGGTAAATAAATCAGGACAACGAACACTTTCACTTTTCGTTTATGAGGTTCATCAAATTCAACTAACATCTAACAATTATACTTTTCAACTAGTTATTGAAGCATGATTAAACTGTTTAATATTCGTCTTGAAGATGCGACTACTCTTGGTGATCGAAACACGTGTCGAGGTGTTGAAAATAACGGTTTGGTGATGGGATAAAACTCCAGTAATATTCATTACTACACCAAAGGTTCCAAACAGTGCATCACAAGTAAGTATTTGCAATGATAAATGATACCTAATATTATTCCTAATAATGCTTCAGATGTGAATTTAATAATATACTATTTCACCTCTTTCCCCCGGTTTCCATTTGCTGAAAATTATATTGAACAAATTTAGGTTATGAAGCCCGTTTTGTTTTCGATGAGAATTTAAAATTTGCCGCTCAAAGGTTAAAGGGATTTTGACAGATAAACTACCCATTTTAATCGGGTCAAATGTGCATTTGTGTATAGAACGACATTACTGTAAAGTTATGAAAGATGTCACAAAATACCTTACAGAAAAGACACTCAGCGCGGAACAGGAGCCATGAACTTTTTGAAAACCTTGAGGTAAGCAACCTAAAAGTTTCGTCGAGTGGTTAGTGAAACTGAACATGGTTGAATTGTTGAAATGACCCTACAACCTGCCGAGAAGCTATCGTAATAACTTCTCAACTGCAATCGAATTATTCATATGATTTGAATTCACTGCTAAAAATTACATGAAACACCTCGAACACAGAATATAGGTCACATAATATTAACCCCTCAACATCATCAAAGTGCCACCAGATCTAAGGTATTCTGTAATACTGTGGTAAGCTTACGAAATCCAGTACTTTCCAATCTTTGCAAATTTCTATTCTAAATGTTATTCAAAAATGCCATGATCAATCGATTCAAATTATTTCAACAATTATAAACGGTACTCAGTGTTTTCCTGATATTGAAACAAACCCATTATTTTATTTTGCAGCAGGTAATACACAGAATGTCATAAAATTCAACTCCTCAAGCTCTCAATGTCAAAAGCCTCCTGACAGATGTTTTTTCGGTAAGGTATTTTGGAGTTGACTATTTTATTTGTCAGTAATGAGGACAGTCTCATATGGCTATTTGAAAGTAATGTAAGGAAAGGAATACATTACGTTTCGGGAAGTTATCTAAAAACTTAACTATTTTTAACAATGGTATTTCAGTATAACAGCGCCATCTTAATGTAATGTTATTTCAGGGTCATTTTTTTGGGTTAAATGGTAAATCCTTACCAGTACCTATTCCCTTCTATCTTTTATGCTGTGCTGGCTGTAGTCTGTAAATTTTTATTTTGAATTTTTTAAGGTGTATGAATGATTTGATGTTTCAAGGTTTCGGGCTGTTAGTTTAAAGTGGGTAACCTTCAGTAAATTTGAAATTATTGTGCAACGACCAGTTTCTTCACAAAATGAATTTATTTTCAAGAATCCGCGTTGCAAAGAGCTATAATGAATGTTTTCTAAATGTGTCTCAACGTTTTTGAAAAAAGTATTCCGTGTGATTTTTATGATCATCCTCAAAATGTGCAGTGGTGTAGGTAGCGACAGTGATCAATTTTTATATACTTTTAAGGCCTTTCAGTTCGATAAGATCATACCTAGCGCAGGTTCCAAACAACCCGTTCCTCGTAGTGGACACAGAATTGGAGCAGACTCTTCCAACTTCTATTCGTTTGGAGGTTATAACCCGTTGGTAAGGGGCGAAGTTGAGCAAAATGACGACGATGACTTCTGGGTACAATCTTTTCCTCTGTTCCAAGAATTATGGAAATTCAACTTTGCTTCCAAGAGATGGACAAGATTCAGAAACAGTGAATCGCTTCCCATGGAATTAGCATCTAATGCACTCATTCTACATGGGAATATCTTGATGGTATATATTTGCGTAAGATTTATTGGTTTTCGGGGCTTTATTAAAACAACAACATATGGGATATGGTCATTGAAGGGGTGATATATAGTGACGACATTAACCTTGACAGTTGTGATCCTCTCGGATCACAGTGTACTTAATAAATTATAGAGGGCTACAACTTGTTACTCCTAATAGTAAGGTTATAAAATTAGCAGAATAGCACTGCTGAAGTTTCAGTGAAGTGGGAATAATGACTCTCAACTGAATTTTTCGTTCCAGGTTTATGGAGGAACAGGTTCACCATTTGGAATCAGATCCAGCAACCAACTTTATGTTTGTAAAGTAACTGAACCAAATGGTTTAATGGTCGAAGTGCATACTACAGGACAGCTACCTTTGCCGTTATATGGACAGGCTGTTGTTTTGCACAATGATTACTTGTATACCATTGGCGGTACAACAGGACTATCATATACATGTGATATTCATAGGTAAGTCATGAAAAATGTCTCACTAATGAGAAAGTGAGTTGATGATGGTTCTCCATTCGTTCAGTAGAGTTTTTTGATTTTCTTACCGGCTGTGACAGGCGCAGATGACGATTTACGGTTCAACACTCCTATATTGAGCGTTTTTAAAACATCGCATTTGATTTATAGTAGTGATCGGTTGAAGATCGACTCTGCGCAGGTCTACATGGATCCAAGTTATAATACTGTTAAATTGTATTCTGTATATATTATATCTTGGGATTCGGTAGCTTTTTTTGCTTCTTATCCGTGTTTCCTGTAGTGACATGAGGTCTATGTCTAGACGGGATAGCATTTCCAAAAGCTCGTTTTTTCTGTCGGTGAAACCGTTTAGGTTCCACAATCCTATTTTTAGCAGCTCCGGGGTTCGTGGTGGCATTACTGTCTCCCGGGTGCTTGTCGTGCCTCAGTCGTTAAACCAGGATTTGGACCAGCTCGTTTCCTTCGACTTTCTGCACCTTCGGTGCTGGCTTCCTTTGGGCTGGCTGTTGACGAGGCCTCTGACTCTCCGCCTGTCGAGGCCTGTTGCCTGCTGTTGGTGTTTGTCTGGTGTTTGTCTCCATCCCTGTAGCTGGCCGGGTGCGCCTCCAGGCATTTGGCTGGTGTCTCTCTTGTCTTTTGACACTCTTTCGTGTCGTGACCTTCTCCGCATTTCACGCAACGGGCTGTCGCGTGATAGCACCTTTGTGCGTAAGAATTGGCACCTGTGGCAGTGTGTCATCGTCTTCTTGTTGATTTTTTGCGGTTCCACCCGCACTATCAGATTAACGCACGTTCTCAGTGCGAAGATATTTTCTTGTTCTTTGGGAACTTTGACCAAGAACAGTGGCAGAATGTTTCGGTCCCTCCGCGAAGTCATTCGGTGGCATTCTAACACCGTATAACCTTGCTTTTCCAGGTCTGTAGTAACGTCTGACTCTTCGACGTTCTCCGGGAATCCCCGGATTACCGCGTGTAACGGTACTTCCTTTTTCAAGGTGTACGTGTGGAAGTCCAGTACAAAACGTCAAGAACCAAGAAGAGTACTTCTTAAAAATAACTGCGTAGATGCAAGCGAAACATAAGTAGCACCATCTATTGATGTGACACCCAAGTTAACTTGCCAAGTTTTTAAGTAGACGTAGGTGGTTTAACCCTTCTTTAAAACAGACAACTGCATCAGCAGAAAGTTGGGAAGCTGTCCTGGAATGCCATTGGAAACGGATCCACATGTCAATTTCCCATGAACATATTTCTAGCAGCTATAAACATATGGATTCGTTTTCCGATGGCATTCCCGTAACTTAACAGATCAAACCCAGGAAAATTACCTTTTTTAATTCTGCGGGGTCCTTTCTGTCTGTCTTTGAAGGATAAATATAAAGTAAAATTGTATTTCAGATTGAATTTGAAAACCATGAACTGGGAAGTAACTTACCTTTGTAATGGGCGAGGGGAATATGAACCGAAAGGACGTTATAGACACGAGGTTGGTTTTGATGGTCGAAATATCTATGTGTTTGGTGGAGGTACTACTGATGAAGCCTATGGTTTCGAATATATACCTACATTTGATACACATTCATCTGTTTGGTTCAGACAGAATACATTAAGGGATAGTAGAAAAGGTGAGTCAATTTCAGGTTGAGTTTTTGATAGCTTCATTGAGCAAGTCAAGAACATTTTGTCATTACAAAAAGCCAATACGTTTCCTTCTGAACTGAAAAAATTATGATGTAACAAGGATTATACTGACTCATACTGATAAGCAAGCACTATTTTGCTCTTGCTTTTTCTCTATTGAATAATTTCTGACACTTCAATAATTTGTCAAGGTAACTGACTCTCAGCGACCCACTACCAGTTACCCGGGGTGTACCCCAAGGAACTGTATTGAGACCCATCTTATTTCTCTTGTATATGAACAACATTTTAAAAATTTCTGATTTCAATAACTCTATTTGCTGATGACACAGCTATCACTTTTGTCGAGGAAACATGGGAAGAAGTATACGCTGTAACAAAACAGCAACATACGACGTGGGCGAGCTGGATAGCTTGCCAATAATTTAAATAAAACTCGGGCGTTTTCCAACACTTTCAATTCCCAGCAGAAATATTGAAATTCTATGGAAGTGAAAACTGCAAATTACATAAACAATAATTTTTGTATAGAACAGAGTAACGAAGAATCTTCTATAATTTTCGGGTATGCCGTCAACAACTGTAACAGTAACTATAAAAATTTCACCTGCACCAGACTCGAGAAACGATTTGGTGGAACAGTCCA